TGTGTGTGTAGGTGAGGGTGGTGGGGCCGTGTGTGTGGGTGTGTGTGTGTATATGTGGAGGTGAGGGTGGTGGGACCGTGTGTGTGTGTGCGTGCGTGCGCGCGCACGGGCGGGTTACCGGAGGTGCTCGTGCGAGGGGGCTGATGCTGGTCAACATGGTGTCCTCACTCTGCGGGGCGAGGGATGTTCTCTTGCTGAAGGCTTTCTGTGGCTTCAGTTTCTCTAGAATAAACTCGGGCCGGGACATCTCTGCTCCTCACCCCCACCCCTTAGGGTGGGTTCTGGGCCAGAGGGCTTCCTCAGAGAGCCTGTTTCAGGGCCTCCAGAGCTGGGGGCAAGAACTGCACTTCCCCAGCGTCCACTAAGCATCACCCCAACCCCACAGGCGACAAGTCGGGTTCCATGTCATTTCTTTATTGAGAGCTGTTGAGAAGTTTCTCGCTTCGCCTAATTCCTCTCTTGGGAGTGTGCCCAGATGTCTGTGGCGGCTCTAGGCCTTCCAGCTCGCTCTTTAAACAGTCTGCAGAGGGCAGATGCTGACCTTATGTGAGTTGAATTTGCTAAAAATCTTTCCCAGCCTGCTCACCTATTAATTCTGTTTTCATGTCACCATGTCTGCTACCCTGTGTTTGGTGATCTGTTCTGCTTTAAGCTTAGAGAGTACTCCCTCCTGCTCAGGCTGGATAAATATCTAGTCCTCTTTTTATTGTTTCCTTTCTAAGACCCTCTTGTTCAGCCGTCTGGTGCTTACATTGGCGCATATGAAAGCTGAGGCCCCAGAGGTCCCATGTGACCCTCTGTCCCTGTGCTGAGGCGGCTGCCCTGGAGGTCGACACCTCACGGAGTCACTTAGCTGACCCCAGGATAATTAAATACAGTATGAAATAAATTTATAATATTAACTATAAAATAAATATCTTCCCCCCATTAATTTGTGGCTCTTCCTTTAGTAAATTCGTGCGTGGCCAGGCCTGTGTGTGATCAGCTTTCTGTCCGTGTATTTTTGTGCCTTCTGTGCGGTGCCGTCGGCCCCCCTTGCAGGACCTCCTTTTCAGAAATCTCCTTGGAGCTCTCACGTGGTTATTCTTCCCGCTGAACTTTAGAGTTGCTTTGTCAAGTTCTATAAAAAGAATCGCATTAAACCATAAAAACGAATCCGGGAAGAGCAGATGTCTTTCCGACGTCGCGTCTCCCGCCCAGGGTGGTGGCATGTCCGCGTCCAGCCTTGCTGTTTGTTTGTTTGGGCTTGTTCTCGTGTGTCTCAGTCAAGTATCACTCCCCGCCTCACGGAGGCCACAGCACATTTCTTGTAAGTTCTTCTTAGTTCTTAAGATTCGCACTGCCTGTGTCAGGGTCACTTGCAGCTGGCCTCTCAGTGTGAGACCCCCCCCCAGCACTCTGAGCACAGGTGCTGGGCCCCACCGGCTCTGCTGACCAGGCCGTGTTCGGTATGTGAGGACGGCTCAGGCTTTGGGTCGGTCTTTTTACACGAGCCCGCGGTCTCTGGTCCCACGGGAGCTTGTGAATAGTTGGAGAAAGAGTTCGTTTTCTTTCTTTTTCCAGTGACATGGCAATCATGGGAGGCCTTTCTCAGCTGTACAAAACCAAACCCATTGCCGTCGAGTCGGTTCCGACTCCTAGTGACTCCCTAGGGCAGAGTAGAACTGCCCCACAGGGTTTCCAAGGCTGTAATCTTTACAGAAGCAGACTGCCACATCTCTCTTCTGCAGGGCGGCTGGTGGGTTTGAACCACCAACCTTTTGGTTAGCAGCCCAGCACTTAGCCACTGCGCCACCAGGGCTCCTTCTCAGCTGTATAACGTAATACCTCTATAGTAGAACTCAGATCAGGAATTTCAGTAAAATCCAAGGGACATCTAAAGCGCAGTGGGGTGTGCCTGCTAGCTGGAGCCTGCGCTGGGAGCTTCCCCCCTGCACAGCCTGGTCCAGAGCCTTTGCCTTGTTACTGCGGTGGAAGGGCTGGGCGGGAAGTTCCTAGGCCAGTTCTGACTCCGGCCTTCTAGCGGTCTGTGACTAAACCACTCCTTAGGTCTGGAGCCTGCACGGGGATCCAGTTTCGGGGGTGGGGTTAAGAACAGCAAACTTCATGCTGACGGAGGCTCGCAGTGGCACCCACCCTTCACGGGGTCTGAGGTGACAAATGAGGGTGGTTCCAGCTCAGCTCTGTGGCTCCAGTTTCCACCAAGTGACAAGCGATAGTGGGCGATGGTTCTGGTGTCTGTAGTCTCTAGACCAGATCCCGAAGGGAAACCGAGGCAAATGGACGCTTGAGTGCTGAGTCACGTTCTGGGTTTTCTCACCTGATTAAAGTGGGGCTCAGAAGGAGGAGAGCCGGTGAACGCAGACTGCCCAGGGGTGGGGGCGACCATGGGGGGGCACTGACCGTGGGGAGGTGTTCACCGTGGGGGTGGGGGGGCGTTGGCCGTGGGGTGGGGGGGGCTGTCGGAGAATTTCTGTCCAGCACCCCTCTTGAGTTTCTCATCCTCGTTTTCTTCTCTTTGTAGGCACCAGTTTGTAGAAAATAACTTAATACTAAAAATGGGTCCAGTAGATAAGCGGAAGGTAAGTCCACCACGCTGCCCCTGGAGTGAGCGCGCACCGCAGCGCTGCCTGGGGCCAGGTCCCCGCCGGCTCCCGTGCGCTGCCAGCGCGGTGCCTTCCTGCTGCCTCACCTTTTAGAGATGGTCTCTGGGTTTAATAGTGAGGGGACATGGGGGGGACACACGGGAGGCAGTGCTCGGAGGTGTGAGCATCTGTGTCCAGCGGGGTGGCCTTCCCCTCCCCGCCGCGACAGCCCTAGTATCTCACTGGACTTGTTTCACACGGGTTGTTACCGTTGATGCAGATGGAGCAGAATTCTCAAATACGAGGCTCCCCAAATCTCCCTCCTGCCTGGGTGGCCCTGCTGTGCCCCAGCCACCCCATGCCCTCCCACCAAGACAAGACCCTCCCCCTCAGTGTGAGGAGGGGTGGAGATGCTGCAGGCAGGCCACTGGATCAGCCTCTCGGCCAGGGGCCTGGTGGCGCCCCCGTGCTGGGACTACCTGAAGAGGGTGCCACCCCTGGGGAAGCATTAAGCACCATCGGCACTCACTTCTGAGCTTTATAACTGGGCCTTTTCTTCAGGGTTTGTTTGCACGCCGACGACAGTTACTGCTCACGGAAGGGCCCCATTTGTACTACGTGGATCCCGTCAACAAAGTCCTGAAAGGGGAGATCCCGTGGTCACAGGAGCTCCGGCCGGAGGCCAAGAACTTTAAAACCTTCTTCGTTCACACGGTGAGCGTGCTCCCGAGGGCCCCTGAAGACAGGGCTGTTGGAGTGCTCTGACCTGAGGGGCAGCG